AAGTTTACTCGTAGAATCAAGGAAATCAACAGGCGTAGGGTTTTCTTAATAACTCCTTTACCAGAAGTAACTAACACTTGTATGAAAATCACGTGTCGCGTTCTCCAAGCCAGTCATCCTGTATTCTCTGAACGAATTTAGAGGTGCTAGGAACGCAGTGTTGCTGGATCATCTGTGGAACGACGTAGAGACTGTAGGAGATAGGATCCCAGGTGTGCAGGATTTCAGACCTAACAGAGGAGACAGTTTATTAAATTGCGAATTCAGTTGCACATATCATGCACTGACAGCACTGAGCTAGGTGCTGGGGATGTAGAGATGTAAGTTACTATCCCTGATTTTGAGAATGCAGAATATCTGGTAGATAGCTGTCCCTAATACCATGTGCTCAGCTCTACAGAAGGGACTGAGAAGAGACTGGAGACCATCCTGGGAACTAGTGAGGAGGCCCAGCCAAGGGTAGGTTACTAGGATTCCTCAGAACCCCTAGCAGGAGCTCTCATTTGGGGAAGATCAGGGGGACCTTGGCCTGGGCTACCATGCCTCTCTGTGTCTTATTTTGTTTTGTTTTTTTACAAAGGTTCTGTCTAGTTCTCTCAACCCCACCTGTCTTCAGTCTGCAGCACTTGCTGAAGATTTTAGCCATAAGAACCTTTGAGCTAGGAGTTAACTGGGATACCCAGATTCTAGTTTCTCTCTCTCTCTCTTTTAATGCTTATTTATTATTTCTGAGAGAAAGTGTTTGCAAGAACGCTCAAGAGAGCTGGGGAGGGGCAGAGAGAGAGAGAGAGAGAGAGAGAGAGAGAGAGAGAATCCTAAGCAGGCTCTGCGCTGTCGGCTCAGAGCCCACCGCGGAGCTCGAACTCATCAACAGTGAGATCATGGCCTGAGCCAAAATCAAGAGTCGGTCGCTTAACTGACTGAGCCACCCAGGCACCCCTCTAGTTTCTTTTTTCAACACTGACTGTTCATGTGACCTTGGGCAAGTCAGTTAATCTCTCTAGACATATTTCTTCATCTGTGCAATGGGGAGAATTTGACAAAGGCCCTCCAAGTCTGAAGCAGAAGAAAGTAGAGAAGTTTTGCATCTTTGAGAAGAAAGATGTGAATGCACAAGCATTTGGGTTAATGAGATGCCTGCTCTGGGAGAAGGAACGGGAGGCCCCAGAGCTACTGTTTCTGTTTCTGGGCTCACCGATGGTGTCTCTGCCTCCAGGTAAATGAGGCCTCTGGGGACGGGGATGGAGAGGATGCCATTGTGATCCTGGAGAAGACACCATTTCAGGTGGAGCAGGTGGCCCAGCTCCTGATGGGCAGCCCTGAGCTCCAGCTGCAGTTCTCCAATGATATTTACAGCACCTATCACCTGTTTCCGCCACGGCAGCTGAGTGGTAAGCAAGTGGTGTCTAAAGTGGCTTCATGTGGGGAGAGGGGTTTGGTGGGAAATTAGGGGGTGTGGTGGCTACTCTGCAAAACTGATTTGCATATGCTCGTTCAATAGTTCTCTGTGGAAGGCGGAGGAGATTTTGTGCAAACCGCCCCCGCCTCGAGACACTTGGCAATCTCTGAAGACAGTTTTGGTTGTCAGAACTGGGAAAATTGGGGAGCCGCTGGTACCTAGAGGGTAGAGGCCAGGGCTGCTCGTGAATATCCTGCGAAGCCCAGAATGGGACCTCATAACAAAGAAATGTCAGTGCTAAGGTTGGTGTAGTGTATTTTGGGGAGGTAGTGTGATTCGTGGTGTAGAATGTCTACTAATTGAATGATAGTGGTCGTCAACACTTAGTAAACTCTTACTACTGTGCCAGCCACCATTCTAAGTGTCCTATATGTATCATTGTATTTAGTACTCAGAATAGCCCTGCTGTGATAGGACTGAGGGAACTGAGATTTTGAAAGGTTAAGTAACTTATCCAAGATCACAGCCCATGGGGGGCAGAAAAACTAAGATCTTTCAGTAGACAGTGACTCACGCACCATGAGCAGTGTGTGGGGTGCTGCAAAGATCAGTTATTTCCCTGAAAGAACTCACTTTCTAGTCCCTGAGAAAAGGAGTGTGATCGAGGGGGATGGACTTGGGAAGGGAAGGAATTCATTGGTTAAAAGGCAGAGATTTGTTTTGGATTGCCAGGATTTTTTATTTACTAAGAAGAGGAAGAATTTATTTCAGCTTCCATGTCAAAAGCCAGGCACGATGTGGGCTTTTTGCCTTTAGCTGGTCAGGTTTAACAAGCAGCTTTGTCGGAAGCATGAAGGACACAGGTCGACCTTGAAGGTTCCTTCCAACCAGGAAATTCTGGGATCTGCTTTGTAGCATGTGGTGGTTCTGTAATATCCTTCTATCTTTTTATTTGTCCTCCAGCATTGAGGAACAATTTGCCTTTACAGATACCCTGCCGCAGGCTTTTTGGTAGGTTTGATCTTTTCTGCACCCCCAAAAAAGGGTGCCGTTATTTGTTGTCCTTTGGAGATGCATGTGAACACTTGATGAGAAACCGGCAGACCGTTCACAACTGAAGGCAAAACAGCCTGGTCCTCCGCAGAAAGCGAGCCAGATTGATGGGTGTGAGTTGATGGGAATGGACAGCTGTATTTACTTTCTCAGGAGCTGACATTTAAGCAAATGTAGTCCTCCACACGGGGTGGCAGAAGCATGACAGAAGGTTCTGTAGCCAAACACCCCTCGGGGCAGTCCCCAAACTATAGGCTCCGAGGTCATTATCCTGCTACCACCCCTTTCCCTCATCTTCCCCAGTGCCTCTCTCTCTCAGCCAAAATACAGAAGGTTCTGCTGCACAGAGAAACCCTGTGGAATGCCCAGCCTTTCCTTTTCATGTAATTTTTCCAGTACTTCTGTGATCTTGCACACAAGTGGTGGTGGCCACTGCCCTGTCTTTCTGTTTTTTGTTTTTTTTTTTTTTTTCTTCCTGAGCTAAAGACTGAAAGAGGCAGTCAGTCATCTGCTCGCTACAGGTCTTCCTCCCCACTGACAACCCCAAATGTCTCTCTGCCTCTTCTCCAGTGCTGCCCACTCCCACCTGGCGGCCTCCTGTGTTAGCTCATCCTTCGCAGGGCTCGGGGTCTTGGCAGAAACATTAGCATACATGGAGTGCATTATACTTTTATTTTCTCCCCCCAAGCTAGGCATGGTGATCAGAAGTTATAAAAATTTTTTTAGTGTTCAGAACTCCTCTCTCTCTCGTAGAGCCGTACACCCTGTCCCTGGATGGTATTCTAGATCAGGGGTGACAAACTTTTACTGTAAAGGACCAGGGAGGAAATATTTTAAGCTTTATGAGCCCCATAAATGGTCTCTGTCACATATTCGTCCTTTTAAAAGTTTTTTTATTGTTATCTATTTAAAAAACATTTTGTTAATGCTTATTTTTTTTTAATATGAAATTTATTGTCAAATTGGTTTCCATACAACACCCAGTGCTCATCCCAACAGGTGCCCTCCTCAATGCCCATCACCCATCCCCCATCTACCCTCAGTTTGTTCTCAGCTTT